ACTACTACTACTACTACAGTGTGCCTGTAAACTAGAAATGCTATTTGGCCAAGATTGTTGAACAGTCTTGCAAATCTTGCTCCACTTTCTCCGCTTGCTCTGCTCGGGGGGGTGCAAGATGACCTGCCAACTTGCAATCTTGAAGGGTGGGGAGGGGGGCGGAAGATCGAGGAGTAGGCTGGGTAATCCTGGTTTGGTGAAGCTAGGGGTGGGTCTGGCAGTCCCGAGCAGTCTTGGTGATCTTGCGTTACGTCAACTCCCTTTCCGAGGCACTTTCGCCACCGAGGCCAGCCAGACCTCCACCCCCCCGCTTCCAACCCTTTCCCTGCCCTGTTCTCGCGAGCCAGCAGGCTAGCACGATCAGAGCGATGCTCGTGCAAAAAGGACGAGATTGCCTCCCCCTCACCCTGCCCCCTCCTCGTCGGCTTTCCCTTCTCCAGGAACAAGCGGGTGTGATGCTCAACACATTCTGTACTCATTCTGTGCTGGATAGGCTTTCCAAGATGCTGTGTCTCAGTTTGGCATGTGGTCGGGAATTGTCAGAAACTTGTATATTGGTTTCTGGGCCTGCCGGACTGCATCGAACCAGGATTGAAGCTAGTCTTCACTGGATCTGACCGGTTACTAGTGTTCCAAACATCTACAAGCTAAACTGTGCTAAGCACGAACAGCATTTATTCTTCTGTATTCGCAGACTATCAATTTACCAGTCAACTCTATTCAGCATTACTCCGCACGTTCTACAAAGCACCTTGTGAAGAAACCCCTCAAGATAATACTTGTTAAAGTATGCTGAAAGCAGAGCATCAAAGGCACGAATGAACATGATTCCCGTCAACCTATCACCAGAGGCAAAACACTGCCACGTAAACAAGATATGTTTGTTGCATACTCTCAAACTGCAGCTGGACGTCTTTGCTGAAGCCACGGCGACTGCGTGACCTAGGCGACAATGACTACTGAATAATTCTGTGCCTAGATCGCGCTTCTGATACAATTGCCGATACCACTAGCCAGAGCATCAGGATGGCGTAGTGAAGCAAAGTGACGGCCAGCGCACACTTGGCACCTTGGCTTCGCCCTCCGACCCGGCTCCCAACACAAAGGTTCTTGCGGCAAGTGTGGACATATGGGGGTTTCCGAAAATTAGGGTATCCTATTTGGGGGATCCTACTATTTAGGGTACTATATTTTTGACACTCTTGGTATACTTCTCGATTTGCGCGTGTCATCCTTGCGCAGGGGCCATGCTAATCTTCTCTGTATC